AAAAAAATAAAAATATTTCGTAATTTAAATTGATGGATTTTAAAATTAATAGGTGATCATTTTTTGGTTTATATATTTATTTATATGTATATTATTTATAATTACAATTTTTTAAACTTATAATTATAAATAATATACATATTTTATTATAGACATGTAAATTGTAATACTCCCTCTGTTCACATTTGTAAGACCTTTTAGACATTTAAGACAACACCTAAAACAGTTCAATTCAGATGTCCTAAATGACTTACAGAAGTGAACAGAGGGAGTAATATACATGTAAATTGTAGCCCAGGAGCACGTTCTATTATAGACATGAACCGTAACAATTATATTTACACATCAGAGTCCATTTGTCTCAAAAACAAAAATTGAGAGTCCATAGTTGGAGTGGCACGCCCTCCTACTTGCTTTACATGGTTAGCTTGTTCGAAACCCCACGGGCGAAACTGTTTTTATGGATTAAAATTCTTGATTTATGTTACTTAATTAAAAGATGTAAAACTTGTGTATGCTTATGCATCAGCAAGTGAACTCTGGGCGGATGGGTAGCCGCGCACGCTGGTTAGACCGCAGTCACCGGTACGAATCCCTCTGCGCAATATTTTCCATTCTAACAAAATTTGTGATGTTTCACTGACAAGTGAGGCCTACCAGATGCCACACGCCTAACAGGTGCCTTTTCATGAGAAAAAAAACAAATCTGAGGGTGTTTTTGCAAAAAAGAGCACGCTACACGCCCAGCCTTCACTATGCAGTCACTGCCAGTGGGCCCGATGCCATGCGTCATGCCTGGTCAACGTTGAGGCCGTATACAAACGAGATTTGCACCGTATTTGCACGTTCAAGCCAAGTTTTTGCACCACTTTAATATATCCCGCAAGTTCTAGCACTAAAGTGACCATTTACGCCAAGTTCTAGCACCACCGGTGTAATTGACTGCACACCGCGACAGGTCACATGCCAGAGCAAACGGGCACTGGCCACAACCCTCCTCCGTAAGACCATGCCGACGCATGGCGCTCACCTCCACGGCATGGAGGAGCCTACCGGCGCATAGTGGTGCCACCACCACAAGCCACTGGAGCGAGCAAATCCGCTACGGGAACGGACAGATATCTTTATATATATACCTACAATAAAGCACGAGGTGATTCTGCCTATTCACCGTCATCCAAATTACCTATCAATGCCACTCGTAAGTGGCAAAAACGATACACTTTTTTTCTTCATAAATCAGCCATTCCCGCTGGTTCATTAAGAAGCTATCCTCTTCTGTGGCACAAGTACAAGTGCATTCCACCGGCTAGACGCTCGGTCTTCCACTTGGGAGACGTAGGTTTGATCCCATGTTCTCCTCCTTTTTCCTTTTTTTTCTCTTTTATTGCTAGCCGCCCGATTGCCCCGCGATCCGTAAATTTGTTGGATCCCGTATGAGAGCATAACAACTTTTAAGTTTTAGTTTCTCAAACTTACGATTTTGTCGGTCGCTTGTACCAAGTTTTGGAGTTGAAACTTTATGAAAATTTTAAAACTCATTAAAACGTATTAAAAAATGGAGCTCATTTGAAAGCACTTGTCACCTGAAACACGAATATGCAAATGAAACATAATTTAAATTTTTTGTTCAAAAGATACAAAAGATTTAAAATCAAATGCCAAAGAAAAAAGGGGGCTGACTGCCCCTCCATGCGTACTACAAATCCCCTCCCTACTTATCACAACATGCATGCCAATTGCTTGATGGTTGTCTTTAGAAAGTATAACGACCATCTCATCGCTAGCTCAACATATTTGACGGTTGTTCTTGGAAAATATAAGGACCTTTTATCACTAGCGGCACTTTCTTTTCATGATCCATACTATGAATACTTATAGCATCTCTAATCGAACCATCAAAATTTAGCCCCTCAAAAGCCTCCTCAAACCTTAACTACTCAAATTTGAGGAGGTAAGAGAAAGTGGATCCTAACCAAACTTCTAAAACTTAACTCCTAAAATAAATTTGCACGCAATTTCATTTCAGACACAAATTTAAACTAATCTATTGCATAATTAATAAAGGTAGCATATCATATATATAGGATAATTAGATAATTTATTACTACATGCAATATTTTGACAACTTTAAACTACTTGTCGTCACCGGCACGACCGCAGAATGCATCTAAGTCAGTGGAGTCTAGAGGATATTGGGATGACACCCCATCACCACCACCACCACAGAAGCCACCACCGTAGGGACGACCTCATCATCATTGTTGCTATGACGAGTAGACGAGTTCTCCTTATTGTTGGAGATGTCGTCCCAATTCACGTCATCCTCCTTGGACTCTAACCACGCTTGGTTCTCAGTGATGAGCTCTGGATTATTCACAATGAGCTCAACCATATATGCCTTATTGATGCGCTCGGCCACAACATGGTTCATAGCCTTGCGATTCTCCATCTCCTTGATGCACGAGAGCACCCTAGCACAAGGCTCGATGTAGTTTGGGGCACGACCGTCGAGGGGAAATTTAGCTTCGACCGACAACCATAGTAGTGTATCACCGCAACGTCGTACGCGCGCAACACATGCTCTGCTGTCGCGAGTGTGTTGAGACACCGCTTCTCCCGCATGTCCGGATTCCAGATCTCCGCCTCCCAAGTACCCCAAGGCCGATGTTGCATGCGGGAGTGGCTGCGACATGAACCTTGGAGGCGAGCGCTTGGGGTGCATGCGTCTTTAATGAGGCTGCACATTCTCGTTTCTGGGTGAAACATGGCTCGCAGTAGTCCTCTTCATCAAAGATCTCGTGGCACCGATGGTGGCCCAATTTGTTGATTTATGCAGCGAGCGGCGATCGAATCGGAGTGAGGCAAGGGCTGCTGGGTGCCGGAGAGGGTGCGTGTTGGCCGTCGGATGCAAAGATGGCGGCGTCGACCTCGATGCAGCTGAGCAGGGGAGAGAGGCGGACGCACATAGGAGGAGTTTATTTTTGCTAAGAACTCCTTTTGGCCGCTCAATATCAAGAGGTGGCAGCCCATAGGACATCCAGCCGGTTCATAGGGCAACAGGAGATTTAGAGTGCATCCAATGGCCTGGAATATTCCAAAAGCAAGATCGGATGGCTCAGGAGTCTAGGGGCACGAAAGGTCTTCTGGGATGTGCATATAGCTATGAAGTCATAAATATATAGTTTCTCTCTCATTAATAAACTACTCAACTAGTCAAGGTTTGGACGAGAGCATATGCCAGACTTTGTTTTCAACTTTCGTTGCTAGCGATTTCGCTGCACCAGTTGGTTAATGGAAACTTATTTCCGGTATGGACTGACTTGATACTCTCATGGTCTAAGAAATCATACCTACGTTAACTCCTATGTTATGGACTATAGACTTCAGACGACATAATCTGTATGTATAACAAACAACTTGGGTCAATTCAACACGAGTGCTGTTCCAACATCGTTCTCTGAAATGTTGCGGGCATTATGATCATGCCCATGATTAGGAAAATTGAATCATCAGTCAACACTTTAAGCTAGTCCTAGAGGCAAGACCAGGAATCACATATTCGAGAACCATAGCAGTTATAAAGTAGAATATACACATCAATCAGAAAACCTGGGAATAAATAACAGCACAATTATTATTGCCTCTAGGGCACATTTGTAACAGTCTCTTGCACTAGAGTTAATAATGTAGTCAAAGCTAATGTCATTTATACCAATGGCAAATCGTTGTAAATTATGCTTCGGTTGTCGTATAGACTTTGTTGTATGGATGTGCCAAATTCAATTCTGTGTGTCTCTTTGCATATCTGTGTATCTTGATGCAATCACAAAAATTTATAATGTATGTACAACTGGCTTTGTATATATTGAATCAATGCTAGGACCTTTGATTCCTTAGATTAAGCATCAGAGCTACCATTATACAATTGTGATCCATTGGCTCAAGCCTTTCGAAATCATACCAAGTTTACGAATGAACTATTTGATCCATGACCTTCCATGTTTACTTCTAAAGGAACAATATACTTAGCCTCTTCGTTATAAAATTCGCTGCAATAACTGTTTGGAACAATTTACTGCACTACCACTTAATATAATACACAAAACCTTAATTGAAATCAAAAATTCGCTTGGAGCATTGATGAAGACTGCATTGATGTAACTACTTATAATGATCTCTTCATATTCTGTGTATGCAAGAAACATGTCATCATTCCTACATTAGTACTTGACCACATTTTCACTTGCTTTCCTGTGACCAATACCTTGATCACTCTGGTAACTTGCTCGAAACTTACTTGGAGTACTTGAATATCTTGAATATATCTAGTTGTTTACATACCATGGAATATATATTAGTTGAAACACAAATGTGAATGACATCTCAATCATATAGTTTTCTCATCAATATTCATTGATTCTTAAATAAAATTCTTTCTATGTGACCTCGGCAAGAAACTATTCCATTATTCTATGTCGAGTTTTAGAAGACATTTTTATTTTCATCAGTTTACAATCCATTATTCTCATGTCAGACTCTAAGTCGTTCAGAGGGTTCATCAAGTTCTCAACTTGAATCATGAAATTTGGATACTATCTCGGATTATTTTGACATATAGCCAATTCCGGAGTCAACTTCCACCAGAGTAGCACAGCTGGTTACAGTCTGTTTGGTCTTCTTTTGTATTGTATCTGAGAACTACTATCTGCACTGCCTGAATCTATTAGCGTAGCTGCACAGTACTGTTTTTCTGCATTTTTATTCGCGTTTCAGTAGGCCTTTGTTCATAGCTTTCCCACTTAGGGTTTGCTTAGCTTCTGTTCTTCTGGATTTTTGACCGTGGGTGCATTTCTGTTCAGTATTAGTTAAATAGTAATTGAACTTTTTTTTGCGGGATATATAAATAGTAATTGAACTTACTTGCAAGTTCCTGCCTCACATCGCATATATGTATTTCTACTTCTACAGACGGAGATCAGAGGAAGCAGCCCACAGTGATGTTAGCCATGCCACAAGCAGTGCTTCTCCTTGCTGTCTCCTGTGCTGCGGTCCTCGCTACTGGCGTCTCCGGCCAGCCGGTGTCGCCAGCAGCAGAGCGGACCAACTGTCCTGCAAAGTGCGGGGACGTAGAGATCCACTACCCATTCGGCGTAGGCCCTCGGTGCTCCATGGACGCCGGCTTCGAAGTCACCTGCAACGAGACGACGAGCCCTCCGAGCCTGCAGTTGGGCAACATCATTATCGCCAACATCACATTGGAGAAGGCGCAGATGGTGGTCTACACCTTCCTGACCTACAGCTGCCGCGTGCCGGGCAGCAACAATACAATCTACGCGCAGACGCAGAGCATTGAGCTCAGCGTCAGCAGCCCCCCGTTCCTGGTGTCGCCGGCGGACAACGTGTTCACGTCCGTCGGGTGTAATTCACTGGCCCAGCTCGTTGGCGATAGCGGCACCGACTACCACACCGGCTGCATCACGACGTGTGCTAGCGTGAACGAAACGGCAGATGACGGCGCACCCTGCAGCGGGCACGGCTGCTGCGAGGCGTCAATAATGCCCGGCCTCTTCGTAGTCAACGTGAGTTGGTCCGACTGGGCGGAGGAGAGCGACTATCATGTGCCTGGCAACCTGTGCCAATATGCCTTCGTCGCCACCAAAGGCTGGTATGTACTACTACTTGTTTCTTATTTTTATTAGTTTTATATATTGATTATATTATATGGCCATTCAAAGGGTTATATATGCATATAAATTGTACTGCTAGCTATTCTTGCTTCACTACTTATTACCTTTTCAAGTTGAATTTTTTATTACTTTTCCGATAAGGGTTGCTTTATTACTTAAAAGGTTTAAGTATTATCCCCGGTCTCTGCATAACTAAGATGCACACATCCAACACTAATTATTACTTAATGGCAAAACTATTGGTACTCTATCTCTTCCTTTTTAGTCTGCAGTCAATGTATCTCTAATTCCACCAAACATATAAAAGAAAGTATCAATATTCATAATACTAATCAATATCATTAGATTCATTATAATTGTAGATGTCAATTTTTTTAATATAAATTTGATCAAACTTTACAAAGTTTGACTTGACACAAATCTAAGACGCGGGGTAAAAAGTAATGAAGGGAGTATAAAAATAATTACGGTAGTAAACCTTAATAATGTTGGAGTATTGTATTTTCTTAATGGAAAGTCCAGGGCTCATCTATATGTGACATGGTTATGACACGTCTAAGTATGACATAAGCGCAACACATCAGCCATCTTGTGCTTGTTTTTTTACATCCAACCAGAGATATTTGGAAACCGGACGGTTTTCAAAAATTTCATGAGCCCAAAAATTTGTAACACAAACCAAAAAGTAAAGTTTTTTTTAATTTAAAGGACCGAACAAGGTCAAATACAGCTCGTACGTGTATGCCATCCAAACACATGTCTTACCTTGCAGGTAGAACTGGGAAGCTACTAGACTTCCGGGGATCATTCCCCATCATGGGAACTTAATATTTTCTATCTTTTTATAGTCATCCAACGCTCCATACAAAAAATTTGGCCGCGCTGCAGACGGCAGGAATCAATAGGACACTCTTCTGTAATGAAAGAGTCATCCTAACCACTAGAATGGAAAGTAGTTGTTGCAAAAAGAAAGGGTTAATTTATACTCCCTCCGTTCCTTTATGTAAAATGTATTTTTTTGGGCCACGGTGACCAAGACACATTATTATAGAGAATTTAGGATGAAATTACCCTTTGGATAATTCGTTGGTTTGTGGCAAGTAAGTCAATTAGGCCAGAAAAGAAAGAAATATGGGTAATCGGGAGAGATGCACTTTCCTATTTTTCTAGAAGCAGAGATACATGTAACCGAAAGAGAGACACTTTCCATTTTTCTGAAGGTCTAAAAAAGGAATTGAGGAGAATTAGCAAAAATGCACATACACTTTACAAAAAGAAACAGGGGGAGTATACATATTTAGAAGCTAGAATTTTTTGAACTCGTCTTTTGTTTTCGAGAGTTTTCGAAAACCGGGTTTTCCGGCCTGAACCGAAAAGAAACAGTAACTAGAAAAAAAACTTGCGTCGAACACAAACATACAACACTCACTCACTCTAGCCACTATCCGCATGAAGGCACACTTGCACGATCACACAATCTACCCACTAGCTTAGCTGCAAATCACTTGCCTATGCATGCATGTATGCACATTAGGAAAATCACTTGATACCTACTCAAAAAAGTTAGCAAATACTAAAAAGTTTGCAAACTTAAAAATGTCTTTGAATTTGAAAAAAATATCATGATTTAAAAAAACATGAATTTGATTTTTTTAAATTCAAAATTGTAAGAATTTTGATGACTTTTAATAAAAAATCATGATTTTTTTAAAAAATGTTGAGATGGAACTGGCCGACAACCCCCCTCCCGCCTTTAATTGCAGTCTTGTTGTGGACTTGCAACTGCATGTCATGGGTGGACTTGCAACTGGGACCAAGATGGGTCGGGCCTAGTTGCGTGTCAAGGACATACTTGCAACAGGCAGACAAATGGGTCGGGGCCCAGTTGTGTATCGAGGGTGGAGTTGCAACCGGGACATAATTGGTCGGGCCCGCAGTTGTTTATCGAGGGTGGACTTGCAACTGCGACAAAAAGGTGGCCCCGCCAATTGCATGTCAGGGGTGTAGATGGACCTGTATCTAGGACAAAAATGGGTTGGGCCCCATTGGTTTGTCAATGGTGGACTTCCAACTAAGACAAGAAAAAAGGTGGCCACCACATTTACATGTTGGGGGTAGAGTTGCAAGCCTGTAGAGGTTGCACATGCAACTAGGAGAAAATTGGGTCGGAACCAAGATGCATATCGAGGATGGAGTTGCAACTAGGACAATTTGGTCGGGCATCCAGTTGCGTACCTAGGGTGGTCTTGCAACTCGCAAAAAATAGGTGCCCCCCAATTGCGTATAGGGTTGTAGTTGGATTTGCTACTAGGTAAAAAATGGGTTGGACCCTAGTTGCATGTTGATGGTGCACTTGCACTCAGACAAGAAAATGCGAGGACTTGTTGCTGGCATAAAAAACGAGGGAACCCAATTGCATGTCAATGGGTAGTTGGACTTGCAGCTATGATAAAAGTGGGTTGGGCTCCAGTTGCGTATCCAGGGTGAACTTGTATCTCGAACAAGAAAAAAGGCAGGCCCATGGCCACTCATTGCATGTCGGGGGTCGAGTTGCAACTGGCACAAGAGTGGTCGCCCCCAACTACGTGTCAATGATGGATTTGCATATAACACAAAAATGTATGAGACCCAGTTGTGTATCAAAGGTGGACCTGGAAACCGGAAAAAGGCGGTCGCCCCAATTGCATTCCGAGGGATGGTGTTTCAAGTAGGGAGAAAAAGGGGTAGTCTCCATTGTTGCATGTCAAAGGTGGGCATGCAATTCGATAAAAAAATGGGTAGACCTAATTCCATATCAAGGGTGAGCATGCAACGAGGGTGGACGAGTTGCATGTCGAGGCTGGACATGCAATTGGGTCATGATCGGATAAGTTGTATGTTTAGAATAAATTGCATGTTGAAAATAAACATGCAACCGGATCCAAGGGAGACATTTGTCGGGGGTGGACGTGCAATCCGATCGAAAAGGTTTGCCTATAAAAAACGAAAAAAAAATATAGAACTCCTGTTACAGATGGTTACCATGTATACATAACAACATTTGCGTTGAAAAAACACTAGCAGAAGGGAATAGCTTAATAGACATGTATCGGTAAGCCAAGGCAATCTAGCTCCTATATACTTTGTTCTCTACCGCTCTCCCTCGAAAGGCAAAACAAAGCAAAAAGAAAATACAAGGAATAAGATAACCCACCAAAACACCACACAACGGGACACATCCTCTGACAGGAAAAAAGAGGTCACACATGGCGCTTACATGAGGTGAACAGCCCAGCCAAACAAACAAGAAAACAAAAATCCAACACAACAAGCACATTGCAATAGGAACACACACAAGGACCTGTGTACGCACGACGACGCAGCGCGAGCCGTGCTCAAACATGCATGGATCATGAAAAAATAAATCTTCTGGTTAGGAAGTTAGATGTGACTTAGCTAATTCTAGACAAGAAGTATTTTCCTAATAAAAAAATACTAAACATGCCAATATGAACCCAATAAATCTAGACAGATAATTGTGGGGAATGAAGTACTATTAAAATTGTATCCACAATGATCATATTTATATCCTTTGGTTTAGAAAACATAAAGCTTCAGTTATAAGGACCCCAATAGTCAGTGAACATTCACCGGGAGGGATGGAATTCACGAATGATTTCAATGGCAAATTGTGTTGGCCGAGCATGACAACTCCACTGCAGTTCTGTTTTTAGTCCGAAATTTGCCATGCTTGCAAACTAAAATTGCCATCTTTGCCATCCTCGCGTCAACTAAATGTTCCATCAAAATGTTCGCAGTTTCCATCCCTCCCAGCAAACATTCGTTACTTATCATCACCATTAGTTAATTATAAAATAGTAATACGAATTAGTGTATATACATCTAAGTGACATTGATTCACATGTTGTCTAAACATGTCACCTATGCCTCTACCATGGGGGATACATGATGGATATAGCTAGGAGAGTGCAAAAGAAATTCAAAACAAGGAAAAAAAGGGGCCTCACAATTAATGGGCGGATCTATAGAAGCACTAGCGACCGATAAAAAGACAACCGATTGGTCGACAGAAAAGAACACAAATCATGGTACATAATCGAGGGGACAAAACTAAAATTAGTACAAATTAAAACTTATTCTGTCTACTTACATCTATATCCTGCTGCCGTCACTTAATTAGCTCCAAACCCAACGTGAATTCATCCTTCTGATATAACATCCCATCTAAAACTTTACCTATAAGACCAGCTCACTAATCCATGTTGCTAATTTAGTTGACTAAAGTACTCTTACTGCATTTTTTTGCGAAAAGGCCAAAGGACATATATAACTAGCATAAACCCTTATGGATCATGCTTATATAAATTAAAGAATACATACAAAACCTTCATGTTGTTGTTGTCTTCTCCCTTGAGCATCCACTGGCGGCGCGTTGTGGGTGAAGTTCGTTGTCGCCTTTGGGCCTCTGTCCCAGGAGAGAAAAATTGTTTAAACTTAGGAGCTCGTAGAAACATAGGTCAAAAAATGTCATATATGTATACTATAAGAGATGCCCGTGGTCGCGATTTGCACGGTAAACCGTTGTCCCGGAGAAGAAAACAACAAAGAAGGCCAGTAGAAGGTTCTAGTTTCAGTCAAATAGAGTCGAGGGATACAAACCTCTCACACTCTCCGATGAGACTGAGTCTAGCCAACTTTTAGCAGTCGGAGTTGGAGTCGGAGGAACAAGACATACAACCACATTTTTTTGCTCCGCATGAGATCGACCGAAACAACCTGCAGAGAAAAAAGCCAGACTCGATGAACCAGATTTGAGGACACACCATTATCCACATGCCTCCTGATGGTACGTAGAAGCATCACCAGGATGAGGGCGAGGCAGGGAGATCTTCTTCCACACCTAGGGAGAATTATCCACTCCAAGATAAAACTATGGCTCCCATTGGTAGTTCAAGGCCTCCCCAAACACCGAATTGAG